GGAGGAATAAATTCTGGTGTTCTATTGCAAAGTAGGGTTAACTATGGTTAACAGTAAGGTATTGTCTATTTTAAAAATAGCTAGAAGAGCTTTTCAATATTCTCACCTCAAAGAAATGATAAATGCATGATGAGGTGATAGATACGTGAAATACCCTGACTTAATAATTATACAACGTGTATGTATCATCAAATTGTACAATTATGTGTCAGTACAAAGAAAGAAAGGGAAAGAAAATGGCTCTTTGAACATTTTATTAAGGGTACACACACACACACACACACATGCACACACACACAAACAGGCACACACACACACTAACCTTGGGCTGGCTTATGACAGCAGTTCTCGCACCTGCATGGTAAGCTGGCTCTCCTTGGCCAATGGCCCATGAAAGTATAGTGCAATAGATCCTGACTGAGACAACAATTACCCCACACCCTTTTAGGTCTGAGCTCCTCACCCTTATTCAGGTGTTCAATTTCTAACCCCGCGTCAGACTGGTACTTCTTTTTGGCTTTCATCTCACTAAAAGAAGAAGAAAGAAGGGAAGATGTCATTCGGCGTTAAGTGCTGCAGTGATCTAACACTGGATCCTACGCAACTGGAACGTGGGGCTAACGTGGTCAGAATCCTCAAACTGAATTTCATATTTAAAACAACACTCTAAATAAGGGCGATCTGAAAAAAAATTAGATTGGGGTTTGTTTCATAGGGAACCAAAATAATGGAGCAAATAAATCAGTATGTAGTATTTTCCATTTGATTTGAATACCTGCTTTTGGGCAAATGTGTGAACTGAGATGCCATTAGCATAAGATGAAATAGCATGCTTATTTTGACACACTACACAGTTATTATGTGATAGGTCTCTACACGGTACCATTCACATACTGGGAAATGGTTTTTCCTTTTTATGTTAAATAAAGTATACTGGTCTTATAAGCAGATTGGTTATAACATATAAAGCTCTCGGCTTTAAGTAATTCAACTTCTTATACTGACATTGACCCAAGTGTCAATTACTATGTTAAGTGAATAAGGCATGAGAGCTGGTCTTCATAGGCTTGTATTTCTTCTTGCCTCACTAAATGACTTCTGGAACATATTTACATAGGAAACCACTGTTATACTCATATTTTTACTGTGGTTTGAATTTTAATTTGTTTTTCCCTTTTTTTCCCCCAACATTATATCATCTCCTGTACACTGTTGTATTCATTAGCCACATTTATTGACTATCTGTATGACTATCATGTTACCATTTGCAATGTTGGAGTTTAATTTGCTCTACTTTTAATGGTAAGAAGGGAAGGAAATTCTTCACTAAGCAGAAAACAAAATAGGGAGAGGCACCTTTTAAAAAATACACATACTACAATATACTACATAAGCTATGTGCTGTAATAGAAAACATGTCATGTGGCTACCGACGTCCGTAAGATTTTCAGAAGTTAAAGGTCTACAGAAAGTAGGCTCAAAATTTAGTTTACCTCATTCTATTTTCATTTAAAATTGTAAGTGTATATACATGGAATTCCTTACGAGAGGATTTTGGGTGCTTCTGAATCAAGGAAAT